TAAGTCTTCCAACTTTCATCCGGGGTTTTTAACTTAACAACCAGAAGAGCTGGGAAACTGGCATTTAGGAGGATATTTCAACTTGCGACACCGCAAATTTAAATTCAGCTTCAAAACAAACATGAGTCCCACGGATACGCGAAAATTTCGGTGAAAAATTTATTAGTTCTGAAACCAGGCAAGTTAGAAAGCTGAAATTTCAAGAGGATTCTTCATGATCATGTGCGATACTGGAAATTTGGATTTAGCTTTCAGATGCAGTTAACACTCAACAACAAGTGCTTGCTGAACAGAACTGCGCAAAAAGCATGATAATAGCAGCTACCTTAGTGCATATCGCTACTTTTTGGTTCTCGAATTACTAAACTCTGGGATTAAGCCTGAATTCATTAGGATGCTCCGCTTTCGCATATGTACGAAAACTGTGGTTTCCAAATTTTGATTTCTGGTTCTCTATGTCTGACCGAACAGAAGTACACACGTACAGCCATAATCCCACTTTAATGCATTTTTGTTGCATAAATAATTTGTGGAAAAATAGAAAAAGCATTTTTTTGCAGCTTCTCCCTTAAACAGTCGCTAGTGGAAAGTGCAGTTCGCTAACATCTTAATTTTTATATTTTCAAAAAAAAGAAAATTTCTGCATTTTTACCAACTGGGCGAGTCATTAATAAAAGTTGCGACACAAAAATAATGGACGGGAAGTAGCTTCCTTCTTTTAGAGTGGCGCAAAAGCGGAAGAGAGCGATGAAACGGATCTGAAAATATAAACGTTTTCCCGGGCATATTTCCTCATTTATCGATTTAATTGTGGCAGTTTAAACAGACGGTACCTTTAATCAGTTCCAGAATACTATCGTCGCAATAACGTGCAAGCTGACCCAGTTCAGCATAAAACTGTATATCGGCAGGTCGCACATAATCCGCATGATCAATCTGAGATCCTGTGACAGGGGCACATTCAAAGGCCAGATCCATCAAGGCCTCGAGTGCTGCACCAATGTCCTGCTCGTGTGTTTGCCGGTGCTAAACTTGATTAATCAAAACATAAAGCTGGCTACCTTGCAGTTTATCAATTTATTTCACCAAACTGACTTGTACGAATATACGAGATTTCACAACCGAAATCGGAATCCATCATTCTTTTTAATGAGGCAGGCTTTCTTCATAACTGTGTTCACAGGGTTGTTCAGCACATAGTAGCTTCGTTCAGTTAAATTATTAAGCACTTTTCGGGGAAGATGCTATCAAACCTCACTGACACATTTGCACTAGAAGAAGGGGTGGATCTTTCTTGCCGAAATGAAACAGTAAAATGATGGAGAAAATCAGTGTGGGTTACCCTTGTCAGTGATTTTACCAAGAAGCATTCACACGCTGAGCGCAGCTATGTCAGGCCCTTCAGTGCTGGACTACGTACTCAATACTCGCCACCTGTTCGCTGCACATGCGCCATCTCTTTGGGAGGCACTCCAATGGTCATTTAATTTCTCGTGGGCACCACTCACTAATGCGTTGTCTACCTGCTGTCAGCGGCGAGCAACGTGTCCTGCCCGATTTTACTTCCTCGCGTGGTCGCAGTGGTTCTTGCAGGTCGCTCCTCTGATCGGGAGTCTGATTGTCTATATGTTGCGGCGAAATTTTGTGAATGACCACGTTTGTACCCATACATCATTGCCTTCAACACAGCAGTATTGAAGAGGTAGGCGCGGTACTTCCAATATGTCACTTTGAGGATATCGACGATGCTGTGGAATTTGCGCCAAACTGCAGCCCTCCGATGGGCAATTTTCAGCTGGAGGTTGTGGCGGGTATTTACTTCTCGCTCGAAACAGACTTTTCAACTCCCTTCAAGTCCATACCATTCATCTACGATCTTGCCGCGGACGCTATGCCAGAATTCTACATCGCCTTTTTGATACGTTGACTTTTAGGCTCGCTTTCTTACTTCGAGAGTTGAGCTCCTGTAGCATGCATTATTTCGTGGGGGGTTGGTTGGCAATAAGAACTGTGTCACCAGCGAAGGGCAAATGATTTAGTTGCTCTTCACCTATCTTCAAATCGCTTCTTCATTACATTATCCAAAATATCATCTCGAGATAGGTCGTAAAAAACTTGACGACGTAGGATCACCTTCCTTTACTCTCCTTTAGATCGGTATGCGGACTGGAATGGGAAAAAATATTGTGAGTTGAACACCCTATAATGCTTCCTGAAGCATTTCCACATAGTTCTCGTCAACCACTCTATCTAAAACAGCTCGCAGCACTGCATTCAGCTCTGTGCTATCGAATACTTTTTCGTAATCGATGAATAGATGACAAAGAGGGAGTTGGTACACCCTTGTACGTTCTAGCAGCTCATTCAGAGTGAATATGTGATCCCTCATGTTGTAATTACTCCGAAATCCAACTTCCTCCCGCGGGTGTTTTTCAACGAGGAGTCTTGTCACCCGATTAGTTACACTTAACGTAAATAGCTTGTAAATACTGGAGAACCCAAGCTGGAACGCACTAGGCTTGTCGATGCAATCATGCGTTTTTGCACTAAACTCGCAGATCGCTAATAGCAGGAATGATCTCTGCGCTGTAGCCTAACACTTGGCTCACACTGACCGCGCTCTAGCCTTTTCCGACATGAAGCAGAAAGGGCGTTGATTGGGATGAAGGCGTTGCATTACAGGACAGCGTGAGCCTCCAAGTGCATGATTATCAGTTTTTTGCATGAAGTCCGAATGAGGGCAGTCGTTCGCTGCAAAATGTACTCGCTTCTGATTTTTCGTTAAAGTCGAGTATTTCTCACGCCCACTTGCAGGGAATTTCAAATCCAAGCAGGATTAAGACCAAACATGAAAGTAGAATATCCTAGCGAACTTTCAGCCTCGCATCCCATCCGGTAAGCGAAATAGCCACTTCGCTACAAATATCTTTGAAGTGCCCTGAGCCATGGCGCAAGTGCAAATCGGAACTCAATCTAGGTGTACAATTTCCCATATGGGCAGTAAACAAGCTGACAAAATTTAAACCCACTGTTTTCTGGCTAGTTTTCAAGTTAGGACAGTGCCAAGTGCAAACTTTGATATGATTGTACGCACTGCATAAATGTGCGCGACAGCTGAATTTGAAATCTTTAGCTCGCACATGCATGCATCTTTAGCTCCTGTAAATTTTTAGCTTTTTACCATGCCTGGTCTGCCAAATCGTTTTCTGTCAAAGAAATTTGCATATTTTTTTCGGGGGTCCGTACGCGGGGTCTAAGCACGTGTGAGTGAAAATTTTAAAACGGAAGGATGATACATGGGGTAGGAAAATATATTTAAAATTTCAGCCTCTCAGCTTTCCTGGTTGCTGAGACGAAAGTGGGTGACTAAGTTCACTCGCTTCCAAACACAA